CATAAATTCCTAATTGGGCAGGTCATGGTGGGTAGTCACACTTCTTTAGTAAAAAGCTAATTTTTGCCTTAAGCAATCTCTGTCCATTGTTTCTGTGCATGTATGTTACACACCTTTGAAATGCCTCTTTTCAGACTCCTCCTAAAATGTGACCACTCTCAAAAGAACACATAATCTTAACTATCCTGTAATTTGATCTCTGCCTTGCTTTCTCCCACCTTCATGTTATCTTTCTTCTCTTCCCTCCTTAATCTCAAATGCCTAAAAGAAACTGGAAACTGTTATTTTCTGGAGTATTTGAGATCTTCCTCTCTGGCATATGTCCTCAGTTTGGTTCAAATAAACTTTTTTTTCAGATTTTATTTATTTATTTTTAGAGAGACGGGAAGGGAGGGAGAAAGAGAAAGAAACATCAATGTGTAGTTGCCTCTCACGCATCCCCTAGTGGGAACCTGGCCCGCAAACTAGGCATGTGCCATGACTGGGAATCAACCCAGCAACTCTTTGGTTCACAGGCCAGAGCTCAGTCCACTGAGCCACACCAGCCAGGGCTCAAATAAACTCTTATATACAGGTTTGGACATTTCTTACATGGACATTTACTTAGTGTAGTATGGCAAAATTCCAAAGAATCCCACCCAGGACCATCCCTTGGACCTAGGTCCAGTGCTAAGTACCACCAGGGGCCCATTGTGCTCCATTGGTTCCCCACTTCACCTGAATGAATTTTTTTCATGGAATCCTGAACTCACCTGTTTAGGTAGCAGTTCCTGACTCTGAGGAGTTCCTATGTGAAGAATGTTTTTAATTTCAGCTTTTTAAAATTGGTTCAAAAGAAAAATTACAATTAAGATGGGAAATCATGCTACCGAAGCCAACAAACTCTACAACAGTCAGCCTCTCTTTAGTACTCTGGCAAGTTTTACATGCAATAACTATAGAACTTCAACTTGTGAGTATCTACAGAAATGGGGAGGTTTAACTAAAACTGGTATCAGCTGATGATGGCTGAAATAGTGCTCTTTTGAGGCCTCAAAATTAATTATTTTGGTGTGCTCAGTTGGAAAAAGTAGGCTCTAAAACTGAACTCAATAAATAGGATGCATACCTTGACTGGAATATAGAAGACTCAAAAAGGAGCATAGACAAACTTTCTTCTTTTCAGAAAGTTAATAAGAAAATTTTAATCACTGTCTTTGAACTCTCAAATATCTCTTCTCTTCAGTAAGTTAGTTAGAAACTTTTCGAGACTGTCTCTGAACAAAAGAAAGCTCCTGAAACTGCTCAAAGCCAGTACTCCATTTCCCCCATTTCTCCAACTGCCCCTCTACTCTCCGAGCTCCCTTTTCTAAACTTGCCCTCCCTTTCTCCTCCTCCTCTTCTCTCCTTTCCACCACCACCCTCTACTGATTGAGGGGAAACTAAGAATAGAAAGCCAGATCAGGAACAGCTAGAAGTACCAGAAATTCTGGCAGCTGCATTTTGAGAAAAGCCAGTTCCAGGACAAGGGGAATCAGCAATAATTTACTTTCGTTGGACTAAAGCAGAATTAAGGAATGTAACTGAAGATTTTCCTAATTTTTTCCAAGACCTTGTTGGATTGGCAAAAGAATATTATTTGTTAAAATATATGCTCCTGGCTATTCTGACCTGTTCCAACTAATGCACTTATTAGTTTCTGAGAGTAAAGAAGCAGAATGGCTAGGTAAAGTCTGCTGGAAAAGTCCTATAGAGGATTTTTTTAAACAAAGAGAAACAGACCTAGAAAAATGCAAAGAATTGGCCCACCATCTACACCAAGCCATCCCTGAGATTTTTTCCCCTGGAAAATAGGCTAGACAAAACCCAACAATGCAGACAAAAATCTGATGAAATCATACTTGCTTTCTTTGAACATTTTGAAAAATCTTTCAAACAATATTCAGTATTTTCTCCAGAGTTTTTAAGAATCATCAAAATGATATTATGCTCAATTTGGCATTTCTGGAGGGATTAGATGAGAAGTTTGTAATTCTGCTTAAATAACATGAAATAAACTGGGCAACCACGTGCTGATAAATTAGTGACTCTGGTCAATCAAGTATTTAAATCTATTCAAGAGGAAGAAATGGATAAAGCTACTTGAAGCATTTATCTCAGTCTGTTGAGATCTTGCCTCCAGACAGTATCCTCTGTTTGGCTCAAATAAACTCTTACAAAATTTTTCTACAGGTCTGGACGTTTCTTACATCAACACCCCAGTTGTTGAGAGCAGACCAAGGCTTCTGTAATTAGAGTAAGTTCTCTCAACCTAAACCCTGTAATACCTTTTAGAAAAGGTTCCTTTATCATGTGTGTCATTAAATATAGAGCATAACCATACAAGCCTAAAAGCATTTGTGTACTTGAGATGTCTTTACTAACAGACTGCTGACTGCCCCTTTCCTTTTTATTCTTATTATAGGTCAATTCTGGTCTCTCTGTCCTGGTCTATACCATAAAAGCTACAATTTAGAGCATCTTCCACCACCCCTCATACCACCAAGGATCAATACCACCCACATACACACACATGTGGGTAAAAAAAAAAATTGGTGTTGGGATATGTGATACGTACGGAAGACATTGGGCAAATGACCAATTCTAATTTCTACTTGATGTCACACTCTTGGTGATGCTAAGTTTACACAAGAGTACGATGTTCTACTAAGCCAACATCACAAGATCCCAATTCATGTAAAACACATTTGCAATCCGATTTATTTGCTATGTACTCCTATGAAACATGGCTTATGTTTTAATCTATAAACACATTTTTTAGAAATATATTCATATTCTGTTACCAAATCACCAACATTTAATGAACTAACATTAAATTCTGAATTTATTTTTTTTCTCAGAAAGAAAAAAGAAACTTTACATTACCTTCAAAAAGAGAAAAAAAATAAAGAGATGCAGCCTTGGCTAGTGTGGCTTAGTGGATTGAGTGCTGGCCTGCAAGCCAAAGGGTTGCCAGTTCAATTCCCAGTCAGGTCATGTGTCTGAGTTGTGGGCTAGGTCCCCATTTAGGGGCATATGAGAGGCAACCACACATTGATGTTTCTCTCCTTCTCTTTCTCCCTCTCTCTAAAAGTAAATAAATAAAACCTGTATAAAAAAAGAGACAGAGAAGTTCAGAATTCTTTTTTTTTTAGATTTTATTTATTTTTCAGATTTTTATTTATTTATTTTTAGAGAGAGAGGAATGGAGGGAGGGGGAGAGAGAAGGACAGAAACATTGATGCAAGAGAGAAACATCAATCCGTTGCCTCTTGCACACACCCCAACCATGGAACCAAACCTGCAACCCTGGCATCTGCCCTGGCTGGGAATCAAACCAACGACACCACCTTGTAGGATGATGCCCAACCAACTGAGCCATGCCTGTCAAGGCAGAAATTCTTTTTTTAACTTAACAAAATCTGTCTTGGATTCTTGCCAACTCACTCTTAGCCCCTCTTTCCCACTACTGTCCTTTTAGCTAAGAGATTCATTAAAAATGTCTTTACCCAAGTTACACTCTACAGTCAGGTGGATGCATAGTGTAGCTGATAGTGGGTGTTAGCACAAAACTGACCTAAATTTTAATCCTGACTGCGTGGTAGTAGTAGCTGTGTGACCTTGAGCAAGTCAATCTTTCTGTCTTGGTTTCCTCCTCTGTAAAATAATATCTAATCATGGTTAACACATATATGGTGTTTACTTGTATCGGTCATTATACATTTAACCTTTGTAACACCCCCTAGAGGAAGAAACTATAGATGAAGCAACTAAGGCACTGAGAGGTTGAGTGATTTCCACAAGGGCACACAGCTGATAAGCTGCAGAGCCAAGGCTGTTACGCAGGTTCCAGAGTCCAGGCTCTAACCACCACATCTACAGCCACTCCAAATGAGGGCATACATACTAAGGGCTGTTATGAGGATTAAATGAGATGATGTATGTAAAGCCCAATACCTGTACGTGACAAGTGTCTGATAGGTAGCAGCTGTGTGCGTTTTAGATTTTTTTTTTCCTTTTGCACTGAGAAATCTGCACTGTTTCGTCTTGGGGTAGAAAAAAAAGAGGTTGGAAGAAAGAGAAGAGACGCCAGGGGAGAAAGGGGTGAGGCAGAACATGGAAGGGAAGTAGTAGGGTTGTGGGGGAGAAAGGAGCTTTCCGCTACCTTTCAAGGTTGTTTTGGCTAGTCTAATAATTAAATCGACATAGACCGATTAACAAGAGAAAATAAATTTAATTACATACATATATATGGGAACCTCACATACACGAGAGTGAAAGACTCCCACCCATATGAGAGGTTAAGAGACAGAAAGGGACAATGAGGTATATAGGATGTTCTGAGCTAAGGATGAGGTAAAGCTCCTTGGGGCTTCAGAGGGGAGGAGGGTCATTCCCAGGACATTAATAAGAGCAGGTATTCAGTAATTAGACGTTTGCCCTGCCATATAGATACGTCAAAAAAGTAATTTCTGATCATTCATTATGGGCAAGGGCCCTAATTTGAATTCTTTAAGGAAGAGATAAAAGTTTCTCATAAACTTGTAGGATCTGGTTTAGCCTTGAGCTTAAAATAATCTGCATACGGCTCAGGCACATTTTAGAGTGACTGGTTCTGAACCCTTACAGGGTAAACAAGAAGAGAGGCAGCGGTGAATACTTAGGAAATAAGAAGTCCAGCTGGCTGGGCCTGGAGAGAGCACAGTGACTCTTAACAGCAAACAAACTTGCCAGCCGCAGAGCAGCTAGCAAATCCGGGAGGTCTCGGGCTGTGGCGGCCTCCTCTGCTCCACCCACCGCACCCCACCCCACCCCACCCCTCCTGAGGCCTCCAGGGCGGGATAAGCTTTCCGGGCTGGCCGCGCGTCCGTCCCCCTGCGGGAGGGCTTCGTCTGCCCCCTCTGCCGAGAGCCCGGGAGCCCCAGGCCCGAGACACACGGTGTTCCGGTGTCCCGGGCCGGGGGTCGGCTGGTGGGGGCGCGATGGCGACGTGGCGGCGCGACGGCCGGCTGACCGGCAGCCAGCGGCTGCTGTGTGCGGGGCTGGCTGGGGCGCTCAGCTTGAGTCTCACCGCACCTCTGGAGCTCGTCACTGTCCTAGCCCAGGTCGGCGTGGTGCGAGGTCGCGGCCTATGGGCCGCAGGGCTCGGCGTGTGGCGGGCCGAGGGGCCCAGGGCCCTATGGAAGGGGAACACGGTGGCCTGCCTGCGCCTCTTCCCTTGCAGCGCCGTGCAGCTCACTGCCTACCGCAAGTAAGGGCCGGGCCATGCTGGCGGGGGGGCCGGGAGCCGGGAGCCGGGACCGCCGGGGTTCCCGGGTCAGGGCCCTGCGGCGGGCCCCAGCCGTTTTCCTGATCGCGTGGGAGACCCTCGGGGCAGTTTGGCCGACAGGCAACATCTACAGCCCCCAAAGCGCAGTCCCCAAATTTGTCACGTGATCTTGTGATTTCGTCCTGCCCCGGTGCAGTTTTGTGGGGGCAGCTCTGACCCAGAGAGGCTCACCGGGTAGGACGGGTGAGGGGGGGGGCAATGTGGCAAAAGGGGATTTAGGGGATGGAATGAAGAGACCTGCAGAGAGATGGCCCCTGGCCATTTCCACCGTACCTCAACTTGGAAACTGCTTTAGCTAGCCTAGGAGAGACAGATCCGTTTGGAGTGTGTGTATGCATCTGTGTCTGTGTGACCAAAGCCCCCAGAAGAAAATGTTTGGTAGGGGCAGAGGACTCAATCCATTGCCACACACACACACACACAAAAAAGGCTACAGGTTTTTACACACACATACACACACCTAAATGAAGCTTGCCTTTAGGGTCCAACACAGGCCGCAGCTTCCCCTCCCCACACTGTACTGCTCACTCCACACTCACTGGCCTTGAGCTTACTTCAACAGCTGTTTCTAAGGACAGGATAATGCCAGATGAGATTTCAAGCTTCCTCCGACCTCACAGATATTTGCGTTTTAGCTGCAAACAAAGCCTAAAAAAATGATGGAATTTCAGGAAGAGGAGATGTTTCTATGTTTAGAAGGATGGTCCCTGTGTTCTTCAGTGGGGAACATGGTGCCAATGCTGAAGACTGGCCGTTGCTCTGAATTAGATAAACAGCCCACAGTCTGGACCACATTGTTCATCCTTGGAGGCTAACAGTCAAAGAACTTTGCCTTTGACTCTGGGCAGCTAGAGCTAGAAGGCTCAGCAGCTGACAAACAAGATGGAATCAACCTTATCACTGAGTCCTCCAGGCCAGGGCTCATTCCATTTACTGCCTGGGAATAGTTTACTCTGTCTTCCTCAGACAAGGGAAAGTACTGAGATCCCAGGCATTTCTGTCAAGGCTCTTTCCTCTCCAGCACCCCCTTGCCCTCAGCAACTTCTGGCCTGAAGTCTGTAAACAGCTCTCTGAATTTTAATGACTCAACTTCTCTCCGTGTCGCTCTCTTTTGCACCAAGCCAGTATGAAAATCTTCCTTTGGAATGCATACCCAGGGGAAGAAGACAGAACTTCAAATGCTGGTTTAAATATTGTGGCTTCTCTAGTAACTTCTTAATATATACATCATTGGATTTTTAAAACACCTTTACTGAGATATCATTGACATATTTAAGGTGTACAACTGGATGTTTTGATATACATTGTGAAATAATTACCTCAGTCAAGCTGATTAATGTATCTATCATCTCTATATAGTCATTTTATGTGTGTGTACATGTGTGTGTGTATCATTGAATTTTTAAAACTCCGCCTCCTACCCTGTAAGGTCCATAGGGTGGGAAATATGTCCATTTTACATATGCAGAATGGGACACCAACTGGCCACACCATTCATCAGTGACAGAGCTAAGCTCCACTGCCTGGCTTTCTGATTTCAAATCTCATACTCTATTACATAGTGCTTCTTTTCTCTTAGCCTTCATTTGATATTAATGTACCTAGTCTTAATTAAGTACCCACTGTGTGCATGATGCTGGGGATGAGTTAAGGGTGAAAGAGGCATGGTCACTGTGCCCCTGAGCTTACAAAGTAATAGAAGAATGAGACCAGTGTGTCCATAGTGTGTGATTTCCATGGTTAAAGTGCTATAGAAATAAACACTTCTGATGAGGGATGAGGAGGAAGAGAAGTGAAGACTTCACAGAGGAGAAAAACCATCTGAGTTTGACCTTAGGAGAATGAGTAGGAGTTTGCTGGGCAAAGATGGGGAGAAAGATATTGCAGGTACTGTCATGAGCAAAAGCACACGGGTGGGAAGCATGCAGCATGATGAGCATAAGGTGGTGTCGACAGCAGTAATGAGAAATACAACCAGAAAAACAGGTTGGGATCCGATGTTGGAGGGCGGGGTTAAGGAGTTTGGACTTGACTTGGTATGCAAGGGTAGCTGTGGGAGATTTTTGGTGGAGGGGGAGTGCTGTGGTTAAAGCAATTCAACAGTAATAATTGTCACCTGGAAGCAGGGTAGAATGACTAGAGAGGAAGAAGGCTGAGGGTGAATGGCAGGACCAGTTAGGAACCTATTGCACCAGTCTATGTGACAGCTGAGAGCACCTGAAATAGACTGATGATGATGGGAGTGGAGAAGATTTGATGCATGGGAGACGAAGAAGAGGTAGTTACCCGGGCCAGGTTTGCTAATTTTTTTTTCCTGCAAGATTATTTTCTCTCTGGAAACTAAAAGGAAGTATTTCAGTGAATGGCTAGGCATAGACAGAAAGCAAAGTGGTTGATTAATCATGGTGCCATCCTTCCTACATATAGACGATACCTTTGGTCCATCATTATACTGATTCATCTCTACTCTTTCCTGACTGTGAATTTGCAAAATCGTTGCCTGGGGGTAATGGTACAGCTTATGATCATGCATTTCAGCAAAGAATAAACCTATAAATGTACAGAGAATGGAATGCAGCGATTAAATAACTTGTCTACAAACACAATTAATGACAGGCCTGGAGCTTGAAACCAGATCTCCTGGCTCCACAGTCCAGGACTGTGCTCACCATCGTGATGCAGGAATGTCTGCTTACTTGGATTAACAACCAAAAGATTACGCTCAGGAGAGTCTAGTAGGAGTTAGGTACTTGGAATAAATAAATAATACCTAGCACAATGCATGGCTTTCAAATACATCAAATAGCCTTCACGCAACTTTACACCACAACTGCTTGTCTAGCTGTATAAGCATTGGTTTGGGTCACTGCAGCTCTGAAATTGTCCCTAACCAACACCAACTCCTTACTGTGTAACCACTTCGTGAGCTTGTGTTTGGCTGCTAGCTGGTATTAGGTTGAAGTGTCAGCAGTTTTAACTACACATATCCAGGATGTTTGCAATGTTAGTGTGGTTGAAAAGAATGGGTCACTGCTGTTCACCAGCCTATCCAGTCTTACTGGGAAAAAACTACCATGCATGCGTGTGGGGATGCTGGAAGAGCACAAAGGGGAACAGTCGTGCCCTGGGCAATCAAACAAGACCTTAAGATGTGGGGACCAGGATGATATCAATGACATGTTAGGGTTGCCTGCCTTGACTCTGTGATTCTAAGGGAAATGGTAAGTGGTCATTTTCTCTGTATCAGATGGTCGGAGTCTGAGAAGAAGGGACTTCCTCTGGTTCTTTTTTAATTTTGTGTATTTGATAGGAAGACCTGACTTTATAAGATAATCTGATATAAGACAGACTTCCTCTTCCTAGTTCATCAAGTCGTTCAGTCAACCAAAAGCTTGTTTTCTCTCCTGTTGCCCTCACCAGTCATTTCTTTAGCAGGACTGTTGAACTCTTTTATGATCTATGCTGAGTGTTAGCACAGTGTCTGGCACATTGTAGACATTCAGTAAATGGATAATGAATTAATTACTGCCCTGGAAGTGGCCAAGTAGCATAGGGAATAAGGATGAGGCAATGAGAATAAGTGGTGTTTCCTTTGGCATTCCATACTCCACCTTCTTCCAGGTTGTTCTGCCTTACTGTGGGCCATTCCTCCAGTCCAGCATTTTCATTTCCTCAGTCTCCCCTTCCCCTTCTAAGGTTCCCCCCACCAACTTGACTGGCCAGAGGAGAAAGGAGGGAAAAACAAGGAAGTATGCAGACAGCGACACTGAGGCAAATGGCCCATTGGTGATTGCCAGATTTACTTACCTGAATCTTTAAAAGACAGATGGTTAACTCAGATGACTGTTTCAGCTGGTGCAGTTAAGGTACATTAACAAAATGAAGTCAAGATTTTCCTACAGCTTGAAGGAAATGCTTTTTTTAAAATCAATGACTATTTATTTTGGAGCAAGGGGCCATCCTAGAGCCCCTTAAATAACTGCACCTGAACACCCACTCATCTTATTTAGGGCCCTGGTTTGCTGCCAAAATGTAGGAGAAGGAAAGGCACCTCTTCACTGGAGGTTTGAAAGTCAAAGCACTAGGGACATTCTCATTTTTTTTAAAGATATAATACTTTTATTTCAGCCTAGTTCTGTTCACTTTCCTTTTATTCCAACCCTCGTTACCCCTCTCCCTCTCTCCCTCCCTACTCTCTGGCAGAAAATATTTTTCCTGGTTTCCAAGCCCTTTTTGATCTTAGCCTCATCAGCAAGATAGAGTAGAATTCCTTTGCTTCCTGTTCCTGATCAGAGAACATAAGTCATGTAAAAATTCCCTTATAACAATTTTTGCCGAGGTAGGCCCTCATGCCTGGGAATGTGCTGCCTCCCAAAAGAGTGATTATATCAGAATAACTTTCTATTTTGCATTTGGAAAAGTCTGCCCAAAGCCATTTTTTACTACATTGTAAAACTGCAGAGAAACACACAAAAATAATCTAGCAAACACCAACCATTCAGAATTGACAGCAAGATAATTAGTATAAAAGATACTTCAACATCTTTTTTAATAAAAGAAATAAAATATTATAGATAAAACTGCAGTCCTCTTCATTCTCTTTCCCAGTCCATCCCCTCTTCCACCTTCCCAAAGGTCCATTTTACACTTTTTTATATGTCTCTATAACTATCCATGAATAATATAAGGTATGATTTTGTGGGTGTGTTTCTTAATTTAAATAGATCATTGTCATAGACTATAGGTCATTCCACAACTTGCTTTTTTTCACTCAACTTTATGATTTGTTTATGCTAATGTGTAGTTCTAAGCTCATTCATTTCAACTCTATAGTGTCCATTGTAAAGCTATACTGTAATTTATCCATTCCCCTACCAATGGTCATTTAAATGGTTTGACTTTTTCACACTTACAAGTGCTGTTTGTGTCTTTATATGTACACGTGCAAGAATTTCTGTAAGTTATGCTTCTAGAAATGGGATTGCTGAGGTAAAAGTCCGCATGCTTCCAATTTTACTAGATACTGCAAATGGCCATACCAATCTGCACATCTATGAGCAGTGGGGAAGAGATCCTGTTTCCCCTCGTCCTCACCACGACTTAACATTATCAGACTTTTTTAATCCTTGTCAATCTGCTAGGCAAAATATGGTATCTTGTTATTGTTTTCATTTGTCATTTCCTTGACAACTAGTGGGGTAACACATCTTCTAATTAACCCAATATATTTTTAAAACTCAATTCCTGGGGATGCTCAAAGTCATCATTTCACGCAATTTCATTTCTTTGAAGTGTCAACAGAAGCAAAGGAGTACACTACAGTTCGGTATTTACCAAGTACTTCTGCAAATTTACACCGCACAGGCAAGCCAGAGTTGACAGTTATGTGGATAAAAGGGGGAGATGCGTAAAATGAAGATGGAAGGATTTGAGGGTAGCTATAAATAAGAGGGTTTGGGCATCTCTTCCTTATTACTAACTAGAATTATATAAATAGAGTGAAGTTGAATGCGTTATTCATTAATCCTAATTCATTAGTATGGTAGTTTTCACTTCATAAGTCATTTCCAAATGCTGGAAGATGTTTCAAGTCGTGTAGAACACTCTAGCACAATCCACAGCTGACTCCCTTGGGCTTTTTCCCCTGTTTTCTCCCAGGTTTGTTGTATTCTTCATGGATGATCTGGGCCATATTTCCCAGTGGAGTGCCATCATGGCTGGAAGTCTTGCAGGCATGGTTTCCACCATTGTGACATATCCTACAGACCTCATCAAAACGCGCCTGATTGTGCAGAACATGCTGGAACCATCTTACAGGGGGATCCTCCATGCTTTTTCTACTGTTTATCAGCAGGAAGGATTCCTGGCTCTTTATCGAGGGGTTTCCCTTACAGTTTTAGGTAAGATGGAAATTTTTGCCTTGTGCAAGGAAAGGTTGCATTCTTTGATATATGAGTGTACTGTATACCTTTATAGCCAGTTAAATCCATTTTATCGAGGTCAAGGTCATATGGATTTAGTCCATATAGAGCCACTTAGCTTCATTCTATTCCATAGCTATACACCTCATTCCTAACTTTGGCCTGTCATATCCCAGAGGGGGGTGGAGGATAGAGTATGGAGGAGGCTATACACAAACTGATAGGAAGACAATACCATACACTCCCCATCTGACTGTGGCTAGGAAGCTCAGTATGCATACATGCACATGTGAGCACAACCAGGGTAGCAGTGGTACCTTCTGTGGTCTTTGGAGCCTGTGCCAAGGCTACACACACACAGGTCACCCAGGACCCCCAATGGCCAATCCAGTAGACTATTGCCCATTATCTAACCTTCATTGCAACATATGATGAGATGGATCACCCCTTCTTCTGCAAACTTGGCTTCTAGGAAACTGTCTCCTGATTATCTTTCCCACCTCTCTGGCAGCTCTTTCTTATCATACACTCATCTGGCTCATCTGACACAGCCGGCCCCCTGCCTATCACTGTTCCCCCAGCTCATTTCTTAACTTTCCTTTCACCTTCCATACCCTCCTTAGGTGGCCTCATCTAAGCTGTGGCTTAAGCATCATTATATTCTAATGACCCCCATTATCATTTCTTTTTTTAAAGATTTTATTTATTTTTGGATAAGGGAAAAAGGGAGGAAGAAAGAGAGGGAGAGAAACAGCAATTAGAGAGAGAAACACTGATCAGTTGTCTCTCCTATGCATTGCCTCTTATACATATCCCAACTGGGGACAGAATCCAAAACCCAGACATATGCCCTGACCGGGAATCAAACTGGCGACCTTTTGCTTTGTTTGACGACACCCAGCCAACTAAGCCACACCGGTCAGGGCCCAATATCATTTCTATAGTAACATTTATAGGTGCTTACTATGTGCCAGTCAGTGTGCTAAATGCTTTGCATACAATTTCTCATCTAATCCTCATCTCACAGGTGAGGAAATAGATGCTTTAGGGAAGCTAAGTGACTTGCCCATGACCACATGGATAGAAAGTGGAAGAACACAGCAATATAATCCCAGAGCCCTCTTTCTTAACCATTGACTGCTACCAATTCCCAGTGGCGGTACGAATACCTACTATTAGACACCCTCACCTGATGCCCCCTTGGCTCATCAAACTTAAGATTAAACCTGATGTCCTCATTAATCTCACACCTGCTCTCCTCTTGCTTTCCCTAATGAATGAGACACCTTTCTTTCACTCAGTGGCCCAAGCCAGAAGAAACCTAGATTCACTTCAACTTTTCCTCTCACTCCACTCTCGCTTTAGTCAGCAAGTGCTGTCAAGTCGACCTCTTTGAACTCACCAGTCTATCCCCCTTCTCCATCCCCATCTCCTCTGCCCTAGGTCACGCTGGCATCGCCATCTTTTCCATTGACACTTACAAGAGGCTCCTCCTACCTGCTCCCAGACTTGGGTGTCTCCTGCCCCAGTCTGCCCTGTGCACTGCAGCCAGGGTGTGGTGATCTCCCTACATGCGAGATGATTGTTTCACCACCCTCCACTGCCCTGCTCAAAAGCTTTCACTGCCTCTCGAGCTACAGGGGAAAACCCCAATTCTTTATAGCCTACCAGATCTTTCAGAACAGCCTGTCCTACCTCTTCTCCTGTCACATACCCACGTGCACTGATGCTCCAGCCATACAGAAATACTTGCATTTCCTGGAAATATTACTCCCTTTGTTCATGCTGTTCCCTCTGCCTGGACTGCCTGCCCACTTTATGACTGCTGAACTCCTACTCCTTCCTGAAGACTCAGTTGAGAAGTTCTCTCTTCTGTGAAGTCCTTCCTGATTCCCCCTCTGGCAAAATTAACCCCTCTGATCCTAGTGTACCTAAAGCACTTTGTATAGCGCCCCCCACCCACCCTTATGGCACCTATCATGGGCCTCTCCACTAGATGGTGAGCTTCTCCAGAAATTAGCTCACCCTTTTTTTGAATTCCTGCACCTGGCATAGGTCCAGGCACATAGCATAAGCTGCACAAATGTTTTCTCAATTAAGCTAAATGGTACCTCATTTTAAATGTGTTTATGAAATATAAATATTAATTATTCTAAGGACAAGCAACCCCACTGTGTTACCCCTATTTTAAATCCTTTTTTGAGGGAGACATTTAGTCCCTCTGTAAGATTAAGATGATTCCCACAGTTTTTGGAAGTTTGTGCAAGTGTTACCTACTGTACTCCTTGCTCACCATATTTTCCTGGAAAGGTGAGGATGCCATACAGTGCAGGGTGCCCACTGGACCCTGATATGACCACACCATTTCCAAAGGCAAGGTCAAGTGACCTCCCTCACCACTACAGCCTCACTTTCCAGTTTTCACAGAATATTTCCTTCTCAGCTGGAGACCAGTACCTCCTTGTTTCCAATAGCTGATTAAGTGCAGCCGACTTTTTCTCATGAGACTGATTTTCTTCCAACATTTTATTTTTTTTTACAATTTCAAACACCCGGAAAAGTTTTTAAAACCCAGAAACACCCATTTACTCACCACCTAGATGCTACAATTAATATTTGGCTTTATCACATAGCTATCCATCCATCCATCTGTCTAGCCATTCATCAGTCCACTATATATACATATGCATATATATGTGCGTGCGTGTGTGTGTGTGTGTGTGTGTGTGTGTGTGTAAAGATTTTATTTATTTATTTTTAGAGAGAGGAGAAAGGACAGAGAAAGAGGAGAGAGACATCGATGTGGGACACATTAATTGGTTGCCTCTCGCACGCCGCTAACCTGGCCTGCAACCCAGGCTTGTGCCCTGACAGAGAAATGATCTGGCAACCTTTTTGTTTACAGGTCGATGCTCAACCCACTGAGCCACACCAGTCAGAGCTATTTTTTTTATGATTTTCATATAATTTGCAAACATTGATACACTTCACCCCTCAGCTCTTCAACATGTATATCATGAACTAGATTAGAGTTCAATATTTGTTATGGTTCTTTTTAAAGTAAAATTTACATACAGTAAAAGTATGCAAACTTTTCGCAAATCATTCGATGCATTGTGGCAAATGACACAACCCCTATCAAAACAGAGCATGTTATTATCACCCAAGAAAGTGTCTTCCTGCTGCTTCAGCTGGAGTAATTTTAACAAGCCCAGAGAGGGTCCTGTTTACTTATGCTGGATTCCCCATAGGCATTTATGTTCTCAAGCCAGTGTTTCCCTAGACCTCGGCAGCCTCTTCCTGGCCTTGTTTTGCAGGTGCTCTCCCTTTCTCTGCTGGCTCCCTTCTAGTTTACATGAACCTGGAGAAAATCTGGAATGAACCCCGAGATCGCTTCTCTCTTCTCCAGAACTTTGCCAATGTCTGCCTGGCTGCTGCAGTGACTCAGACTTTCTCCTTTCCCTTTGACACGGTGAAGAGGAAGATGCAGGTGAGGAGTGATTTTGGAGGGGGCAGTGGAGGGATGCCTTGCAGTGTTGGTGGGGGGGTAACAGCAGTAGAGAACACTGACCCTGAGCAATGCCAGGTTTCCAAGGAGATCCTGACTGCTCACACAGATGCTATGCGAATCTCCACTCTGGGACATTTCTGCTGCTAACCTCAGGACTACTGGCTCCAGCCCAAGCTGCTATTTCATTCCCATATTCTGTTTGTTTGGGGTTTTTTTAGGGCTTTTATTACCCCTCCAGATGAGGCCCACTTTTCTTTTCTCTCTTACTCTTAGCTGCCACCGCCCATGACATCAATGAAGCCTCCTGGCTCCCTCTCCCTGGGGCCTCCACAGCGAGGAGGAGAGGGCACTCTTTCGTAACCACCCCTTACCTCAGTGAAACAGACTGGACAAAATCAAAATAAGCCAGGAGCCTTTCAATAACCAAGCTCCAGTAGTCCCTGAGTCCCTTGTTAAGGAAGTAACTACATTTGAAAAGGATCAGTGTCTTAGTGGGATTGGCCCTTAGTGGTATTTTCCTAATTGTTACCTGGGAAACTGACATATTGTCTATGGGCTACAGAGGCAACGGCCTGGTATCTGAGGTCCCGAAGTGAGTAACTGGCTTAGCCTAGACTCAGCCAATGTTGATTAAAAAAAAATCAGTGGGCCAAGTAAGGTTGGGGGTTCCAAGCAGGTATGCACAGTAAGGTCTGGCTCAGAATGGAGAACTCTGAGGCTTCACATCTGCCTTGAACCCTACTTGCTCTCTGATAACCTCCCTAAAACTCCAGTCCACAGACTTGCCTGCCTCCCTGGCCTCTTCTGGGCTAATCTTGATTTATACTATTGATATATGTTCCTGAAGAGCTGCTTGGATATTGATGTGGGATCTGCTGAGTCCAGTTTTAAATGATCGATTCCAGCTGAGTTCATTTTTCCACATGTCTGTAACTTACTCCTCTGTAATCTCAGTGGCCCCTGGCTTCCCTCCTGTGGCTTTCTTGGCTGGGCTGGACCCCATCTACCTCAGCACTAAAAATCCTGAAGGACCCTAACTGAGTAGCTCGGTTGGTTGAAGTGTCATTCTGATATGCCAAGGTTGCAGGTTCCATCCCCAGTGAGGGCACACACAAGAGGCAAACAATGAATGTATAAATAAGTGGAGCAACAAAGAGATGTTTCTGTCTCTCTCTCCCCCTTGCTCTCTCTCTAAAAGCAATGAAAAAATATATACTCTAAAAAGTGTGAAGGTACTTATCTCAACCTATAAAGAAAAGATGCCTTCACAACAACACACATCACAATGACATTCAATTCTGCTGTTTCAGTCCATCAAACCCATCATCTATCTGGCTTATGTTCCTTTCCTGTCCTTTGTCAAAGCAAATAAATAATTGTTACACTATTGTAATTGTAATGTAGATGCAAGTTCAGAGCCTGCTCGGTGCATGCTTATTTGTAATCCATTATTCCTAATTTTATTTATTCATTTTTTAAAGATTTTATTTATTTATTTTTAGAGAGGGGAAGGGAGAGAGGAAGAGAGGGAGAGAAACATCAATGTGTGGTTGCCTCTCATGCACCCCACAACGGGGACCTGGCCCGCAACCCAAGCGTGTGCCCTAACTGGGAATTGAACCAGTGACCCTTTGGTTTTCAGGTCAGCACTCAATCCACTGAGCCACACCAGCTAAGACTAATTTTATTTTTTTAATATTTTATTTATTTATTTTTAGAGAGAGGGGAAAGGAGAGAGAAGGAGAGGGAAAGAAGCATCAATGTGTGGTTGCCTCTTACATGCCCCCTACTGGGGACCTGGCCTGCAACCCAGGCATGTGCCCTGACTGGGGATCGAACCAGTGATGTTTTGGTTTGCAGGCTGGCACTCAATCCACTGAGCCACACCAGCCAGGGCTTTTTGTTCCAAATTTTAAAAGGACTGTACATAAACTTAAAAATGGTTAAAATGGTTAATTTTATGCTCTGTTTTGCACAGATCATAGAAAAATATGAAAAAGAAAACAATAATTAATTATAAGCCCAACATCTATGCACTATAATGATTAATAGTTTTTCTTTTATGTGTATTTGTGTGTATGTACATGCGCATACATTTGTGTGTGCGTAAATATAAATATATGTAATACATATATGGAAGGTATTTTTTTACAACATTGTGTTCCTGCTGTATATAAAAATCAGTATCCTGCTTTTTTCACTTACTATATAATGGATATTGCCCTAGGCCATCAAGTGTTGAGAACTTCGTTTTACATTATCACATAATATTCCATCCTTTGGATGGGCCACAAATATTTTTTTGAAACAACAAATATTTATTCTCAAATTTCTGGAGGCCAGAAGTTTAACATCATGGTGTTGGCAGGGCCATGCCCCTTTTGAGCGCTTTAGGGGAGGGTCCGTCCTGTCTTTTCCAGCTTCTGATAGCCCTAACTGTTCCTTGGTTTGTGGCGACATAACTTCGATCGCTGTCTCCATCATGCCATAAATAACAGTTTCTCGGTTTTTGAATATGTAGGCTGCTTCTGATTCTTCAGTAAAAACCCTTGTATTTTTTCACATTTGAGATGACACCTTTCAGCTGTATTCCTAGAAATCAACTTACAGGTCACAAGATAAAAATAATTCTAAGGTTCTAAATGAAGTTTGCACCCTAGAAAGGTGGTAAGTTTACACTTGCACCAGCAGTAAGAGTGGTTCATCTCAAATCTCATCAACAGTAATTACTACCACTTTCTAAATCCTTGTGAACCTAATAGCTGACAAATGCTATTACATTGTTTTAATTTGAATTTCATTGATTATATAAGCAAATTGCATATTTTTCATATATCGATTGGCCCTTTGTATTTTTTTGGAAATTTTCTCTTTATGTCCATCACATATTTTTCTGGGATATTCAGCTTTTTCTACTGATTGGTAAGAAGGCTTTATGTGTTAAGGATATTAACCCTTTGCCATACATTACACATATTTTTCCCAGTTCGACATTTGGCTTCTGATGCTGTTTATGCACTGTTGTTGTCGTACGTATTTTTTAGATTTTTATGCAATTATATCTATTACAGTTGTTTGTTTCTAACTTTGTTGTTCTGCCTAAAAGTCCTACCCCATCCCACAATCATAAGACTATTCATTTATATAGTTCTTTTCTTAAAAAATATTTTAGTTGTTTACTTTTAGAGAGAGGGGAAGAGAGGGAGAAAGAGAGAGAGAGAAACATCAATGTGCAGGAGATACATCAGTCAGTTGCCTCTCACACGCCCCCCCAACCAGGGACCCGGCCCGCAACCCAGGCATGTGCCCTGACCAGGAATCAAACCCATGATCTTTCAGTTCCCAGGCCGGTGCTCAATCCACTGAGCCACACCAGCCAGGGCTATATAGTTCTTTAAATACTTTTTTGTTACAGGTTTTACTCTTAACGCTTTAATGCATTTTAAATTTACCTGGGATATGATATACAGTAATCATCTGACTTTTACAAAAATAGTTTACCAATTGTTTAAGGATATGTTAACTTAAAAATAAAAATGCCTTTTACAGTGAGAGACAAGGGGCATTTATTCGAGATCAAAGAATAGTTATTCAGAATGCACCGATTCAGGCAGAAGCCCGAGTAGTATTCTGATTAGGAGACAAAGGTAGTGGTCATTTGTGAGAAAGGCAAGGGGAACAATTACATCAATAGAAGGAAGGCATTTCTATTGATCATAACATAATGCTATTAATCCTAAATGATGTTTTTAATTTTCAGTGCGGTAGTCATCAGTCCTGTAGTCATAATATCTGCTTTCTTGTTATGTTTGCAAACATTTCCTTGGGGAATAAAGTTGCTTAGGCCCAGCCCAAAGGTTACTTTTCTCTGTTGAAACATTCCAAAGCTTGAGGCATAAGATGTTCAATGCAATTTTTCTGGAATGACAGCTCCAGCTGCATTTTAAAGTGGCTCTGTTTTTTAATTTTCTTAACACACCATTTTTGAAATAACCTTTCTTTTCCCCTCTATTCTGTGATGCAACTTTTACCACATCCTAGATGTTTACATATTCTAGGGTCTATCTTTGGCTATGTAACCTGTTCTGTTCACCTGTCAGTCTGTTCTTGCGCCAGTACCACACTATTTTAATTCCTCTAGCTCTGTAATACCTTTTTTTATTAAAGATTTTATTTATTTATTTTTAGAGAGAGGGGAAAGGAGGGATAAAGAGAGGGATAGGAACATCAGTGTGTGAGAGAAACACCAATCAGCTGCCTCTCACATGTCCCGAACGGGGGACCTGGCCAGCAACCCAGGCATGTGCCCTGACCAGGAATCGACCAGTGAACTTTTAGTCTGTGGGATGACGCCCAACCGACTGAGCCACACGGGTCAGGGTTGTAATACCTTTTAAAAGGTGGCAGGACACCTCCCTCCTCATTGCTCTTCTTTTCAGCATTTCCTTGATTATTCTCAGTCATTTGTTTCTCCTGATGAACTTTAAAATTACCTTGTGATTATAAATGGAGTTATGTTAAACCTATAAACTTGGAATAATTCATGTAAGATATTTTGTCTTTTACTTAGGAATGTCATATATTTCTTTTCATTTCAGTCATTTTTCTTTAGATTTAACCATATAAAATTGCCTATTCTACCATTTTAAATGATTTTTTAAAAATTTATTGATTTGAGATAGAGAAAGAGGAAAGGCAAGAGGGGGAGAGAGAGAGAGAAAGAAAGAGAGAGAGAGAGAGACAGAGACAGAGACAGATCGATTTGTTTCACTCATTTATGCTTTCATTGATTGATTCTTGTATGTGCCCTGACTTGTGATCAAACCTGCATCCTTGGCATATTGGGATAATGCTCTAACCAACTGAGTTACCCAGCCAGGGCTAATATTCTACCTTTACCTTTTTGACATACTCAAATGGTAATTTCATATGGTTCAACCCTTAGAAAAGTTGGTTTCTTCTTGTAATTATGCTTTTTC